TCTTTTTTTTTTTTAAATTGACAAATGCTAAAGTACCTTTTTGAGTCGATTTTGTACATTCATAGCATGTCTAATAAGTATTGGTGACATCATTTGGCGCACTCTTAAGATATGAATTAGATCAACATCAAATAACCAAAACAAAAACTTTTAATGCGTGCTTGGTAAATAACGAAATACTACTATATAGCAAACTTTTAAAAATGTTCTTAATGCTTATAAAACGTTTAAAATGCTGTTAGTTAAAGAAAAAAAATTTTCAAAAGTTGAATATTAGGAATAAATAAATATGAATTTAGTTTCACTTAAAAGACTTTTTTTGTGCTTTTTAGATTCTATTTTCAAATTTTATTATTTTCTTTTTCTTTTCTTTTTTTTTTCTATAAGGTTTTTTTTGCCTATAAATTTTCAATATATTATTGATCTCTCAAACAAAGATAACTTTTGATTGGATAAAGCTACTGAGCTAAAATTTTGTGTGGTGTTACGTCATGCTTAAAGTGATCTGAACACTAATCAAAATTTTATAGTATATATTAATATTATATAAAAGTATATTAAATTATTTTAGAATTTTTTAAATTTTTTCTTTGCTTCCGCTTTAATAAGTCAACATAAAGATGAAGAAAATAGTTTTTTAATAAAAAATAAAAGTAAAAAATGTTGCGGCATCTAATAATTCTTTAACTATGTATTAAACAAATTATTTTTTTATTTTAACTAGTTCTAACTAAAATTTTATCACTTTTTAATTTTTATAATATTTCCTTTTTAATATGGTTTGTCTCTAACTTCGAGGTGGCAAAAAAGTTGCGACATTTTTTGTTTACAAAAACAAACTCTACCGGGTGAGTCAGCAACTGCGTAACGCTACTTTTTAAGGTACAAATAACTACTTTTAGATATATGTGGCACCATATGTTGAGTGCGTAGTTATCTGACTTTTTATTTGAATCTTCGTTCTAAGAACACTTTAACAAAAACAGCTAAGCAGTATGAAGAAATACCTATGGTATTATAAGCCAAAGAGCTTGAATTGTATTCTTAACCATGGTTGACAAGTTTTTTTACCAACGTACTCAGTAAAAAGCCAAAAAAATGCACAACATGAAAACTTTAATAAGTTTTTTGAAAACGGTTTTTAAAAAAGTATTCATATTATAAAACAAATAAAGATTTGTTATTTAAATGTAGATTATTCAGAAGTTTTATTAAAAATAAAATAAGTGAACTTTAAGAATCCCTGGAACTGGAACAACAGCAAAAGTTAAAAGTTTGCGTGTGACCATTTAAATACATAAATGTTAGAATTTTATGTGCGACCATGCAATTACATATAACAACTCTGATGTTTTAAGAAACAATGAAAAATCCACTATTGCTATGCATTTCAGGTGTCTCTAGAAAAAAAATTATTACGTCTTTAATAATCAAATAATAAAGTCAAGTTTTGCTCTATTTTGGGAAACCTTTGCCAACATATTAATTTGAACTTAGCTCATTTTAAATATTTTTGTTTTTTATTTTATTTTCTTTATTTAATTAGATTTTATTTACTTTAATGATATTTTTAAACTTTTTTTCATTTTAATTAATGGTATTATTTACTACTTTTAAAGTAAGGGTATTCATCTTATATTTACTAAGGGTATTTCACTTACATTTAATAATAATAATAATTTATATAATTATAATTATAATATTATTATTAAATATAATAATAAATTATATTTAATAATAATAATAATTTGTAATTTACTAATAATAATTAATAAGGGTATTTCACTTATATTGAGTTTTCGTTGTTAATTTAATAAATACATTTTATGTAATATTGAAAAATTTTAGATTTCACATGATACATTATTTCTGTTTCACAAAGAGGCAAACTTTAGTTTCTAAAGTAATGAAAAAAAAAAATTATTATTTTTATTTTTCAAATAAGTAACCCCGAAGACTCGCATCTTGCTGGATTCTATATACCTGTAAAAATATTTCCTTTTTAAAAGTATACTTATCTGACTTTTTTAACAGGTGGAATAAGTATTGGTTTCAAATGGTACAATCGTTTTTATTAAAAACAAAAAAATCTTTGCTAAAAACTTTCACAAATTTTTTTAAGATTTGATAAAATGAAATAATATTCAAAAATTTTCATTTAAAGGTTAAATTTTTAGTTCTGTATAAACTTTTTTTTTTCAGGCCTGCATAAAATAAGTCATTTTATTCAACCTGGCATTCCGAGCTCAATTAGAGTCCATGAGCTAATTGAACATTAAGAACTTTTTAATGAAATTGTAGTAATAATTTTAATTGAACATTAAGTAATATTTTTAATTGAACATTACTTTTTAATGAAATTTTAGTAATAATTTTAATTGAACATTTAAGAACTTTTTAATGAAATTGTAGTAATAATTTTAATTGAACATTAAGAACTTTTTAATGAAATTGTTTAGTAATAATTTTAATCGAACATTAAGAACATTTTAATGAAATTGTAGTAATAATTTTAATTGAACATTAAGAACTTTTTAATGAAATTGTAATTATAATTTTAAAGATTAGGATTATAAACCTTAAATTGCAAATTATCTTTGCTCGATGTTAAAACTAATTATTGTAATTACTTCTAGTTTTTTTAATTTTCTTGTTAATTTATTTGATATAACGCGATGCTATGTATAAAATAAGTTTATTTTGTAATTTAATTTTTATATCAGGTCCACTTCACTTTTACTCCGAGAAAAGTAACATTAAAAAGTTATAAAAAGTAATAAACAAAAATGTGGCAAAGATTGCGTAACGTTGAGGTCTACATGTGCGTTTGAGGTCTACATGAGCGTTTTTACTAAGGTTTTTAAAGGTTTTTATACATGTATATATGGTTATGAATTGCTAATTTAGAGACCCGGAACCTCTATACATTATTTATCTTTAGATATAAAAGGAATGGAAGCATAAACTAAATGTATGTAAGTTGTTAAAAATATTCTTCATAAAGATTTTTTTCCAAAATTGATTTCTCATTTAAACTATTTTATGACACTTTAAAATCAATATTATGAAATTTGAAATTAAAACATGTTTATTTACCTACCATTTTAGACATTAAACTTTCTTTTACAAAACCTTTTTATAATATTTATGTAAACTATTTAACAAACGGATTCAACTATTTAATATTAAGTACTTAGTTTATCCTTTGATTGCTCAAGCGCTTGAAAATCGCATGCGCAAGAATAATGTAAAACGTCGGAAGTTGATACAAGCTCGGCGCCAGTTAAGATATAAATACTTATCTAAATTAAAATTTCTTTGTACAAAACACAGTTCTTAGTCGTTAATAATCATTTTAATTCTGAAAGCTGTTGTTGTTTATATTTCTTTCCGTAACAATATAAGTCTTAAATAATGAAATTTTTGCAATTTTTGGAGGTTTTAGGATTAGTATACTAAAATTATTTTATTTGTGTAATTTGTAAAGTTGTAAATTATTTTAAATATCGCATTAAAACTATTTTTATATCGTATTTATTTTTTATATTTTATATCGAATTTATCCTTTAACCAAATTTATCCTTTAACCAAATTTAACCAAATAATAATAAAACAAATCACTAAAAATTATTTTACAATTATTCACGTTATAAATATCTTCTATTTTATTTTATTTTTTTAACTTGGTTTTATTATGACATTCCATAAAATATAGAAGGGGTAGATTTATAATGACATTGCATAAAATATAGAAGGGGTAGATTCATAATGACATTCCATAAAATATAGAAGGGGTAGATTTATAATGACATTCCATAAAATATAGAAGGGGTAGATTTTGTCACAAATGATAATTCATAGAATATTGGATTACTTAAAGTTTTTTATTATGACATTTAAGTATTCTTGAAAACGCTATGAAAATATTGGACTATTACTTGAAATAAATTTGAATATTTTTTTCATGATTTACATTAATTAAATATTTTCTTTTTCTTTTTGAAATTTATCATTAAATTGTTGTATAATAATAAAAAAGCAAGTTATTATTTTTGTATATTTTTTTCAATTGTTTTTTGTTAATTTTAGTATATTTTATAGTTTAAGTAATTTTTTTAAGTTTTGTTAGTTTTAAATTAATTTTAGTATATTTTATAGTATATTTTAGTAGTAGTAGTAGTAGTAGTAGTAGTAGTAGTAGTAGTAGTAGTAGTAGTAGTAGTAGTAGTAGTAGTAGTAGTAGTAGTAGTAGTAGTAGTAGTAGTAGTAGTAGTAGTAGTAGTAGTAGTAGTAGTAGTAGTAGCAGCAGTAGTAGTAGTTGTAGTAGTAGTAGTAGTAGTAGTAGTAGTAGTAGTAGTAGTAGTAGTAGTAGTAGTAGTAGTAGTAGTAGTAGTAGTAGTAGTAGTAGTAGTAGTAGTAGTAGTAGTAGTAGTAGTAGTAGTAGTAGTAGTAGTAGTATATTCTTTTTATAAATATTGTATACTTATGAAGAGATAAAAATAAACTTTTTAGAGTTGAATAATATATTTCAGATCAAATATTAGTATGTACTGTATAACAATAGCTGAGTATTGCGGAGTATTTGATTGCTGTACATAGTATTTAACTAGTTAATAATTATCAATACAAAAAAATTGCTCGTAAGCAAACCTTATAAAGACGAAGTGAATTTTCTCTTTTGTTTTAATTAATTACGTGGATCTCTTTACGTGGCATTATATTGTAACAATTTGAAGCTATTAAATGCTTCGTCGGACAATCATTGTGACGAATATATTTGTTAAGATTATGAGATAAAAGTTCACTTTTTATTATATTACATCAAAACCAAGGTTTTCTTTGCTATATGCAAAAATTTCCAGTTTTATATCCTCAACCCTAATACTAATTCAAAACATAAGCGAATAAGTATTCAGATTTTAATTTGATCGGAAAAATTGAAGTTACTTCAAGTATAATAAAATAAATAAATACTTAACTCAAGTTAAAATAAATTTTACCTGTACCATGACCTCGTACGAAAAATTTTGTTCCACAACATATAATTTTTTAAATTAAAATTTGCTTCTAAATCCAGTTTTTTTTTATGCTTACTTTTATTTTAACGTATATTTAAGTTTGCTTCGTATATGTATAATTTTATTTACCTAATCCACAGCAATCTCTAAAAAAATTCTTTTGATTTAGTTTTTCTTTATTGTTTTCTTACGCTGTTAATTCATTGAATGTGATTCGCATCCGGTGTAACAATATAACCGGTGTAGCAAAATAACCGAACTTTGCGTGCTAACATCAGCGTTTTTATTCAAACTTTTAAACTATAAACATATTAGCTTATAAGCATTTTAAAAACTCAGTTTTGAATTAAATATCAGCAAGATCTTTTTAATAAATAATCAAGTAAACCTGATTCCGAAGAGCTTACAACTATTGCTAAATATGTTGAAGTCCTGTTTTAAAAAATCGTAGAAAATATAAAGCAGCAGTGCAAAAATAAAGTTTTTTCAACTTTGAATTTCTTATTCAGGCTTCTTGGATCGGCCAAAATAATGATAAAAAAAATAAATTAGTGGCGTATTCAAAATGACATATTGAAATAACGTTTGTGATATATATATATATATATATATATATATATATATATATATATATATATATATATATATATATATATATATATATATATATATATATATATATATATATATATATATATATACATATATATATATATATATATATATATATATATATATATATATATATATATATATATATATATATATATATATATATATATATATATATATATATATATTTGTTTTTAGTGATGTATTGCTTTAAACACGAGGATTAATTTAATGTTGGCTAGATGAAAAAGAAAAAAAAAATAAGAAAAACTCAAATGTATATGATCACGTCATTCAAATATTTAAAAATGATCAAACAAAGGTTAGTACCAATAATATTCAAAAGAAAACCTGTCGCTTTTTGAGAAAAAATGTCAAAGAACAACAAGAACAACGGACTCATATAAAACTAACAATTCAGATTGGTCAGAGAATTTACACTATTTAATTCTATCAACACTATTTAATAGTGCAATTCTATCAACCTCTTCTAGTCAGTCAATTCCATCAAAACTTTCCATCAAAACAAGTTAGTTTATCATATACCATAGTTATAAAATAAACAGGTAAAAAAATTGGAAGCATAAATATTATGTTGAGATAACTCGCATAAAACATTTCTGATGTTGGAAACAGTAAGTATGGCTGCACTTTAGCAAAAAAAACGCAACTAAGTGTTGTTCGAAAGAATGTGTGTTGAAAGAATCGAACAGTAGTCCATCTCGTGCCACCTAAATTAATAACAAAATTATTTTACGAAATAAAGAAACGAATTTTTATAAAGCCGAAGTATGATTAGAATTTATCATCGATTCCAATTTATGCAAACAACAATATCAAAACAATAGACAAGAAACTATTATTGTACAATATTAAATTACGTTGTACAATTAAAAGAAGAAGTAATTTTAACTAAATGCATTCACTTAGTACTAATGAAATTAGTGCAGAAATAATATTTAGCTACAGTCTACATTAACTGCTATCAAACCTTTCCTATTATTCAGCCTATAAACAAAAATTTCTGATTCAAATTTATTTGTGATAACTGTTATACTAATCTGTTTGAACTCGGAAAATAATACGATCTTATGAAACAATCGCTCTCCCTAATCTGTGCGGTTTTCTAGACCATTAATGGTTAAATATACAAAGGAATCCAAGAAGCAAAAGAAAAACAATTAACAGACAAATAAGCTAGAGACATTATCAATTTTTTTTTCCAATAATAAAAAAAATTCAAAAGAACTTTACTTTATCTAAGACGTTAATTGTTTTTTTATTTATTTTAAATATTAAATTTTAAATAATTTTCAATTAGTATAAATTCCAAAAACTAGTTATAAGTTGCAAAAACTAGTCATAAGTGTAAACTGTCACTGAAATGCACTGAAAGAATTTGCAAAAATTGGCATAAGTGTGAAATGTCAAAAGTGAGCCAAAAAAATATGCAAACATTGACATAATTACAAATTGAAAAGCGAACTGGCATAAATGCGAAGCAATTGCAAAAACTGGCATAAGTGCGCTAAATGAATTTGTAAAAACTAGCATAATTGCGCCGTAAAAATTTGCACTTATGCCAATGTTTTCAAATTCTATCAGCGCGCTTATATCAGTTTGCAATTATGCCAGTTTTTGCGACTTTTTTGCACTTAGGACAGTTCGTTCTTATGAAATTTGCACTTATTCAGCCTTAATATAATAATATTGTGCCCGTGGCGCAGTGGTTAAAGCGCTTGCTTTATAAGCAGGAGATCCAGGTTCGAAGTGAACTTTGGACATATTTCGCGTCACAGTAAGCAAGGATGCGTGAACTTCCTGGTTAAATGCACTTCTGCAGTGCTCTGTGACAAGACCATAAGAACTTCTTGCGGCGCCTAAATAACAGAAAAAAATAAAATCAGAAGTTAGAGTGCTCTAACTAAAGATTACCATATTCTTCGACTTGTTTACGTCATTAAAGATCTTTGTGGAACATTTCATCTTAAATAACAGCATTTTTCAAAAAAAAAAATACTTTAAACTAAATTAATTTCTTAAACATAATGAAGTTTTCACATTGCACTAAAAATTGAATACCCAAACGATTTAATAAAGGTTTTTAGAAACTGAACAGAAGGGCGGAAGACTGCGCAAAACATTTTGTTTCATAGGCAGAAAAATTATTTGTCACGTCAAAAAGAATCCTTGTCGCAGCACTAAGTATTAATTTTCAAAAACTGAAATTTTAACTTTAAATTTTAAACTTTCAATGTCCGGAAATACAGTTTGCAGCCTCATAGCAGCGAAAAATTTATTTTATCAAAAGAATCAAAAAGCAAGAATTGAATTTGAAATTCTCATAAAAGATAGATAATTAATGATTGGAAAAGAGTTTTGTGTAACAATGAATCAAAGTACAGTTTAAAGGATCCTAATGACAATTTGAAGGTACGTAGACGTTTGGATCCTAAATACACAAAAGGAGCGATCAAGCATGGTGGTGGCAAAGGTGCAATGGTTTGTAGTCCTTTTGCTGGTTTATTGGAGTTAAATCTTTCCATTGAATGAAAGAATTGCGGATCACTTCTTTTTATTGTGATATTATTGAGGTTTTCCTCTTGAATTATAGGTTCTTATGTTAAACTTTCTTATGTTAAACTTTTTCTTTATATATAACATTACCTATTTGATTTCGCTAAAAGAGTTTTTTTAAGAAAAAATGTTGTATACAATAATTGAAGTTGAAAAATTGGATTTTTTTAAATTTATTTGTTTAAATTACGGATTACGATGTAAAACTATACCCAATTTTTAACTTTCTACAATTAGAATTTGAAAATTTTGATTTTCAATTGACAACTTCTTCAGTTTTATATTTACATAGAGTTATAACATGAAAAACTAATTTTCGACAAACTAAGATTTTGATCAAGTTGGTTTTCAACATACTGTATTTTCGATTGGCTGATTTTCAACCTACTATATTTTCGATTGACTGATTTTTCGATCGACATAATAACTACTTTTATTCCAGTATGTATTTTGTATTATTATTTTGAGATTTAGAATAAATGGTTCGTTTAAATATTTGAAAAAGTTTATTTTAATTAAAAGAGTGCCTGTCAAAACTAAAGCTCTCAGTTGATGTATGTATACTATCCTCCTTCTATGGCTGTATCTATCAATCAATCTATCCTTAATGTCCGCCATTCTTTGAAATTGTGATATTGGTAGCCATAAAAAAATTTTAAATTTTAACATTGCACTGTCATTATACTTAGTAAAATAAAAACTTTATTTTAGTTAATACCATTATTCTTTCACTTATATATAACATTTTTGTACTTTAAGGTACTCGGTATATACATTTGTTTCTGCTTAACGACATATTTTCAGCAATTTGCGATGACATAGCAAAGAGGCGTGTACTTCCTGGTTAAATTCCGCTGTGTTCTGTGATAAGAACGTTAGAACTTTTTAGAACCTAAATAACTAAAACATAAATAAAAAATTAATTCAATTTAAAATGTAGTTCATTATTTATGCGTTGTGGCTTTTTAATTTAATTATTTTTTCTAAACTAAAATTGGGTACTAATTCATGAATCACTGATAAAAAGCGGTCCGCACAACGGCTACTAACACCAGTTATGTTTAAAATGGGTTAAAGTTAATATTATTGTAGAATTATTTTATTTTACTTTAAAAGTAGATAAATGCTATGATTTTTTTTTCAGTTGTTTGATTCAAAACAGTTAGAAAAAAAATAAAATTGAATTTATTTAACTTGCCACGATTCTCCACTAAAATTTATGTCGCAATTTAATAATCGGCCAAAATCGGTACTTAAAACAGTTCAAACCAATTCAAGTTCAAACAAAACCTGTTCTAAAACCGGAACCAAAAACAGCTTAACACTTTTAAGTGAGTCGAGTATTAATACCCGTTGCGCGGACTGCTGTTTATCAGCGGGTCGGGTATATATTTCATATATTATATATTTTATATTTTACTATTTATAATTTTGATATTAGATTTTATCGATAAATAAAGTACCTTCAAAAGGTTCAAAGTTATTTAAACTTGTAATGTCACTCATTTCATTTGGCTTCGTTTCCACAGATTTGTTTAGGAGCTCTATTAGAAATGGTCTCAACTCATCCATTTCTTTTTCTATTTCTGCTTTTAATCTTAAAACCGCTTCTTTTGACTTTATGTTTCAATCTCGCTGCACGACAGAATATTTTACTTTGAGGTGACATATTTAACTAATATAATTTATCTTTATTTATATAAAAAAATTTTGAAAAAAATAGTCTGAGAAAAGTTGTAATAGTTGTCAATAAATCAGGATCACGGATATTAGCATTATGTGGAAACTTGGATGTTCCATCAAATTCAATGTTTCATTAATGCTTTCAATTTTACTTTAAAAGAAGAAAGATTCGTTCTATTACTTGTTTTGAATTTTTTAGTTGTCTTCCTTTGTAACTATTTATACTAGAACTTTTAATAAATTTTTCTTTTTTGAGTGCTGAGTCATCAAGCCAATCTTTTCATGAAGCTCAAACCTATTTTTGGTTCTGTGTCATGTTAGCTCTTCAATTCCATTCCAAATATTTTATGTCGCTGGTTAAAGTCTTTTCTGTGTTTTTATGAAATTAATTTTGGTTCTTACATGGTTGATTAAAACTTTAGCATTTTTAGAATTCTTTCGAGATAAGTAATAACCAATTAATACTTTTCAGTTTTACATTTAATCAAAATGGAAATTTCACGAAAACCAAATTTATATGAAGATGGAACAATTTCAGAATTAATTTTAAATATCTTTCAAATTACTAACAAAAAAATTACTTATAAAATTATATGATAAAGCTAAGATAAAATGTCTAATTTACTACGTAATTTTAAAGCTAACCTTCATTTATTTAATGCATTAAAAAATTTATCAAGTTACATTTTTAGCATAACGAGACATTTTCAAATTTGCTATCTTTTTTCGGAGCAGCTCAGGGAAGACAACTTTTTTTGCAGTAAATTATCTTTTATTTTACAGTTAATTATTCTGACGTATAACAAAAGCATAATGAACTTTATATTTTTTTGAAAAATGAAGGAAATAATTTGAACGTATTTTTTTCCTCCATCAAAGCTAAAGTAATGTTTTTGTAATTCTCCATCAAAGAATGGCTCTCCATCAAAATCGGCTCCATCAAAGTTCAAGTAATGTTTTTGTAACAATTTTTATTAAATGACTGATTTTCAAAATTTTATAAGGTTTGTTAAAATTATTTTTTATTGTTATTGAAAAGTAAATTTGATTAGCTTTCAAACGATTTACAATAACCCACTCTTCATTTGGTTATCAAGGCGCAAATTAAGTGATCGCGAATTGAAAATTCCGTAAAAATTTCTGGTCTTCAAATTTTGTTTTTCTTGAAAACCACTTTTGCGCGTTTTTTTCGGACCATTCGTAACAGTTTTACAAATTGTTGATTTGCTTATAAGTTTTTTAATTTTTCTAGATTAAATTAAATTTTGAGATTTATTTTGATTATTTTTTAGTTATTTATAAACTAGTTTAGTTGTTTATAAACTAAAATATGCAAATTATAAAAATATCGTTTTAAGATTAAAATATTATAAAGTAATTTTTAATTATAAGTAACAACGTTTTTCTTGTCTTTTTTATTACAGATTATTTAACAATTATTCATATTGTTAATTAATTATGTAATTTACAACATATATACTAATTCCTGTTCGAATGTAGCAATATCACAACTGCTATTACTTAAATTGAATAATATCTCGACGTAATAAAATCATCTCTGAAAGAATCTTTAGCAATTTTACCGATGTAATCTGTATAAATACCAGCAGCTCGATTAGTTGAGAAACTATTACCAAGATCAACGTCATTTTTTTAAATTAGCTCAAGCAAATAAGGGAAATCGGAAAGTGGACGTTCTTTTTTTGCCAAGTAGTAAACTGCTTTCAGGGGCGTGTCTAGGGGATGTCTGCTACGTCGTTGTCTAGGGGATGTCTGCTACGTCGTTGGACGTACCCAAAAATATTAAATAAAAGTTTTTCAACTTGATTATATTTTTGAAAAAAATCTTACTATATGTAACTATTAAAACCAAACTACAGCTAAAACTAAACAAGTTATGCACGCTTAATTATCTGAAATGGTTGGAAAAAAATTAAAAACCGGAAAACGGTTCAAATTCCAAAAAATTAAAAACCGGAAAATAGTATATAGTTTCATAATATTGCGATTGTTAAAAAATAATAACTACATTATTTTGATGGAGGTTAAACTAACTTTTGAGTTAAATAACTTAATTAGAAACTTGAATTTTTTTTTTTTAATTTATTTATTACAGTAATCAATACAACTTCTTGATTGCATTGATGAAGGGAAGTACATCAGGCTTTCCTATGCTGACAATAGACATTGCTGCAGCCGAAGCAGCATTTTAAACGTGTTTTTTAAAAAAGTGCACAGTGGGTGCATCAACTACATTCTGAGCTCATTTGTTCCATCGGTTAGTAACTCGGTTTGTAAAGAAGTGCTGACGTTCTGAATTTCTTTTGATCAGTTGTTGTTTTAAACATCGGCTGTTTCTTCTCAGATTATATCGTGAATTTAACAAAAAAGGCTGGGCTTGTGGTATGTAAAATTTAACTTCTTGTAACTGATGAGCAATTTTGTATTGCAGTATGAGGTCACTGCAAATTCTGCGTTCTTCCAGCGTGGTTAGATCTAGTAGTTGTAGTCGTTTTTCGTTATTAAAATGTTTAATCAACGATATAACTTTTGTTGCACGTTTTTGCACACGTTTGAGAAGGACGATTTCCAATTTAAGATGTGGAGACCAGGCTTGTACACAATACTCTAGATGCGGTCGAACGTAAGCTGGAGGCTACGGCATCGAAATGTCTTTTTGAGGCGACCAAGCATTCGATTTCCGGCCAAAGCTGCTGCTTCTACTTGTGCTTTCACTTTGAGGTTGTCGAATATTAGTACTTGATATAATTGCTAATGCCATCTGGATAGTCATTGACAAAAAGCACAAATAGCAGTGGTCCAAGTACTGATCCTTGAGGGACTCCAATTGTAACTCTTTTCCACTCGGAAGTTTGTTCCCCAATAACTACACGTTGTTTTCTTTCACTTAGCTAAGCAGAGATCCAGTGGAATAGCTGGCCTCTAATGCCGTATGCCTGAATCTTGTGAAGGAGTCTTTTTGTGTTACTGTATCAAAAGCTTTGGCAAAGTCTGTAAATATAATGTCAACAATGTGTCCACGGTAAGCTGCCTCCGTGAGAATGTCATGGGATTCAATTAAATTTGTAAGACAACCTCTGTGATTTACAAATCCATGCTGAGATTTTGAAATTAGATTGTGTAGTGTACAGTGTTTCATAATCCTCTCTTTTATAATTCTTGCACGGTACATAGGTAAGAGATACCGGCCTATAATTACAAGCTTTGAGTTTGTTTCCTTTTTTGAAGATAGGAGTAACATTTAATTTACGCCAAAGATCTGGGACATTTCCAGTTTGAAAGGATTGCTTAAAAATGAGTGAAAGAGGTATTGCAAAAGCTTTTGCACAGTTTTTTAGAACACGAGGATGTACTCCGTCATGTCCCATTGATTTAGTGTCGTCAAGGCAGAATAAGTATTTTTGTACTATAGCAGCTGTAAACAAACTTTCGTCAATTTCGCAAGTTGATTTTGTTCTCTCTTCAAACTTTGGTAACGGTGTTGGGGGTTCTTCGACAAAAACTGAATGAAAATAATTGTTTATCATTGAAGTTATAAACTTAGAGTCTTCGGTGATGTTATCATCGCTAGTTTCAAGCATACCAATGTGATTATGTACTTTAAGCTTGTTTTTTACGTGTGAGTACACACGTTTTGGGAACTTCTTGAAACTGCTTACTAGTTGTTGTTCGTAATGAAGGACAGCCGCATTGACCACTTTTTTAACGTGTTTGCATGCAGCCTGATGTTCATTACGTAATTTTGCATGAGAATCTTTACCAGCAACAACGTATTTTGCCCAAGTTGAACGTTTTAATTTTACTCCTTCCAATACTTTTTGTGTGACCCAAAGATCTTGCTTAATTTTAAATAGAGTCGTTGTTGATGGAATGTGCAATTTTACAGCTTTGTTGTATACGTCAATAAACCAACTGTACAGATCGTTTGCAGAGAGATTGGTTGGTATTTCTTTAGAAGTTATATGTAATGAGATTGCATCAAAATTTGCTTTACTCCAGATAAGCCGTCGGCGAATAGGAGATGTTAGTTTGTTCTTGTTGGAGTATACTGCAAAAAGACAGTGAGCTTTTCGCATTGGTGTATGTCCAAGCGAATTTTCTTCGTTTATTGAGATTAGGCGATCAGGATTATTAGTGATGACGAGGTCAAGCGTGCTACATGGAGTTGCAAGCATGTTATTGCGGTATGTTGAGAATGTTACTAGTTGAGTTAAATAGCAGTCTTTAAGACACTCTTGGAATTTGATATCACCGGGATGTTGTTCAGTAACATGAGCGGTTGTTTCTACACCACTACCAACATTGCATGATTTATAACTGGTGTGGCTAAAATTAAAATCACCATACAAAAGCATTCTTGAACACTTTAATTTTGGCAATATCTGTTGCGCTGCTTTAATAGAGGCAAGAATCTGAGTGAGCGTATCATTGTTTTTATCTATTGGGCGATACATACAACCAAGAAGTATTGATTCGTTTTCAAAATGTATTATGTGCCAGATTTGTTCTACGGATGTCGAGGTGCGTGTGACGTCGGTAATCTTGCTGTTAGCGAGGCCATCTATGATATAGATTGCAACACCGCCCCCTCTACCATCACGTTCTGTGTTATGCAGCTGATAGCCAGCAATGGTAGTGTCTGACGTAGCACTGAACCAAGTTTCAGAAAAGAATATTACGGGTGGAAATTCAGATTTGTCAATAGAAGTAAGTCTTCCTACAAGTTTATGGAGTTTTTTGTTGTTTAATGAGCATGGGTTATTTGCCAAGAAGCGGAAGAAGTTTATCGAAGGTAACTTTAAACGTGGCGAAGCAGCCTGTGACTGCAGGTCTTGTAATGAGTTATTTGGCAAATGTTGTTTACGTTTTGTTTTGGTTTGTGGGATTGGGCTTATATTATGTGGTTGCAGTTTGCACGGTTGTGAGAAGACGTTTGCGGTGCGGTGCAAGAGTGCTTGCTGGGGAGGCAAAGACATATTTATGTAGTTCATTTGACTTTTGAACATCAATGCAGCAGATTTCTCCGGTACGCTTGTGTATAACATTTTATTATTATTTTTTTTTTTTTATTAAATATTTTAGTTTACATTTGTTAGTTCGTTTTTACAATACAATGAGAGAAAATAAAAAATTAATACAAATTATAAAGTAAGCAAATACTACTAACATTTGAAAAACTAGGTATCTGAAAAAAGATCAGTAAGATCTTATCGTCAGAACCTTATACTAGTGTGAACAAAATATTATATTATAAAGTAACTATAAGTACAACAAAATAAAAATAAAATATACATACATATATCACTTTGTAGTATATATAATAAAGTTTAATAAATATTTCCATAATATAAATATTATTGTCAAATTTTGATAATACGGGAGAGAAAAAGATTTGTCAGCTTAACTTTAAAAAGATGCAAAGAAGTAGGTAGATCAAAATTAAATTTAGGCAAAACAATTTTGTTCCAAAGAGTTAAAAATCTTGTTTATCGAAATGGACTGCCATACCATATTTTTTTTTTAAACTTCGTTTTCAGATAATTATTCATAAGCACGTGTTAATAAATCTATCAAGCGAGCAACATCAAGCATTATTGCTAAACCATTAAAGATAAATATACCAATGGCAGCTTGCTTACGTGTTTCTTATCAGCCTTTATCTGCTGAAAAAGCGAATGATATTATTTCTATGTATTCATACATGCCTGCTGTTGATATTGCGTTTTACAAAGCATTATAAAAAAGAACTTTTTTTTATATATGACTCTCTCTGTTATTTTTATTTTAGTATTGATATATAAAACATAAAGTTTATATTATTTTGAAATCTTGTTAACCTTGTTTTTTATAATAGTTTTTAATAAACGCCTCATAAGCGAGAGGTTCCGAGTTCAATCCCCACCACGTCCCTAGTAGTACCGCACTCAACTCGTTTCTCCGCGCAGCGGCCTTGTTCGCCAATGTTCGTGTTTCGGAGTTATAGAGTTGAGAGAGGGTTATATAACCACAAATAAGTAGCCTCCTCGTCTTTAGTGGCCTTCTCGGCCTTGAGGAGGTGAATTAACAAAAAAAAAAAAAAAAAAAAAAACAATCATGTAATGAAATCACAGGTATAAGAAAAATAAAATCAAGTTTATCTTGTATGTTGTTTGTTATTAGATCTCAAATAATTGACCGTAAACTTTAAAAAAGCTATTCTTTAATAAATATTTTTCATCCTTTTCCTAGACCCTATATATATATATATATATATATATATATATATATATATATATATATATATATATATATATATATATATATATTATATATATATTACCCTTTTTATATATATATATATTTTATATATATATATATATATATATACATATGTATATATATATATATATATATATATATATATATATATATATATATATATATATATATATATATATATATATGTATATATATATATATATATATATATATATATATATATATATATATATATATATATATATATATGTATGTATATATATATATATATATATATATATATATATATATATATATATATATATATATATATATATATATATATATATATTGTTTATCCTTTATGAGAATCATGATAATCGTAATAGGAACTATGATGAACCACAGAAAAGAAAAACTCGTTTACTTAGTATTTTAATAAAAGCTATTACTGATTTTTCTTTGGGTGTTATGAAATGTGAAATTGTGGTATGGATACTTTACGAAAGTTTTTTATACCTGTGGTTTTTTGTCTCAAAGAATGTCATTAATGGTGCAGCCCCTGCTACTGCTTCTTCTACTGAAGTTAATAACAAATTTTGATTTTATTAATGCATTGTGTATAACAAGACATGTTTTTAATATAACTTTTTTAATTACACAATTTTGTAAGCAAGTAATTTTTTATAGTTTAAATCTTATTCAAGCATTAAAAGTTTTTAGAAATATTATTACTCAACACCTCAAAATAAACATTGCATTTCAAATTACTTTATCTTGGTTATCGCTGCTTCTTTGCTAGACTATCTGAGTTTTATCTAGATTACTGAGTTTAACACAATGTTTGATTGATACATTTTTGAAGTGTTATAAAGCACCGGTGTTTTAATTTCTTCTTTCTAATATTCAATTTCTTCTAAAAACAATTGCAGAAATTCAATGTTTTGTTATACTTGTTTGGAAGACCAAATCATATGTTTTAGTATCTTTTGTTTAACCAAAGGCTTTATTAGGTTTATTTATTATTACTATGCTTTCAACTAATATATTTTAAACTCTTAATTTTAAAAGTTTTTAAACCTTTTCAATTTGCTCAAAGTTATTGTAGTTGGAACGTCATTTTGCAAATTAAAGCCATTAAACTGTCAAAGCCAGTGGCGAATTAAGACTTCTTGGGGCCCGGGGCTATTTTTGTTTTTGGAGGCCTTTTTATGGGCCAGAGCCTAAAAATGACTTGGAAAAAAAAAAAAAAAAGGTCCTCTAAAATTTTTGAGGGGCCCCTAATTTTGCGGGGCCCGGGGCTATAGTTCCCCTAGCCCCCCTTGATCCGGCACTAGTCAAAGCCATATTTATGAATAAGTTTCTTTTATTTTTCAACCGTTTACTAACATCATAAAATTTTTGCAGACATTAGTAACTAACCGCTACTGACAATAACAAATAATACCACGCTGGAACACTCTGACAGTGTTATGTATTATAAGCGTTATAAACAATATTATATATATATATTTTTTTAATATATCTCGTTTTTTGTTATCAATTTTTTCATTCCAATTAATATATTTTTAAATGTATATTTTTAAATTAATATTAATATTTTTAATTACATTATACTCACTGGTGTAAGTATACAACATGGCCGCCATGCCCATGGACGTAAAGGAGGAAGGTCAGGGGGTATATTTTCCCGGGACCTGTTTAAGGCCCCGTATAAAAAAAAGAGGGAGAAAAAAATTTTGAGCCAAATTGACGTTACATGGTGCGTGTTTTCAGCCAAAGTAGGTCCCACAAAAAAATGTCTATGCCCCTTCCCCCCACTTTTTGAGCCACCATGGTCCCCCCATTGCCCATGTGTAATTTTATTCAAAGAATAAATAATTTATTGGAGTATTTATTTTTTATTCTTAGCCGAGTTTGGAAGCTAAAGTTAAATGTTGCTAAATGAGTCGGATTCTAAAAGCGAGAAAAACAATTGACGCATTTAAAAATAATTACCTTAAGACGTTATTAAGTCTATATTGTTTATAAAAATAATTACCCTAACAGGTTGGAATATTTTAATTGAAGAAATATCTTAAAAGCAGAGCCATTACTAGGCTGCCAAAACGGCTCCCTTAATCCGGGTAACGGGAAGGCAGCAAAATTAGGGACCTTTTTTCAAATTTTAGAGGGTTATTTACTAAATTTGAGGATCTTTTTTTTTTTAGTAATACCTTATATTCGAAGCTTTTTAAAATTTTTGGGGCCGTAATGACAGGTTTGAGAGAGTACTTTGCCTCCTATGCTACTGCACTGATTAAAAGAAGAGGGATGTTTTAAAGGAAAAATTTCATTATATTTCTATGATAAAAACGTTTTAACAAAAAATAATTTTTTTTAAAAACATTACTTTATTTTATTATAGAAAGGAATATAAAATCAGATATTGTTATCTAAGTTTTTTTTTATCTTATAAGTCTCACGTTTCTAAAAAAACGCGCCTATCAAATCAACCAATGAAAATTATGAGTTTATGTTGCCGTAACGCTAGTAACAATGTTTTCCTATATTTGTAAACACATTAGGAGTTCACGGTTTTTTAAGAAACTAAAAATTTAAAGACCAGAATTTTTTACGGAATTTTCAATTTGCGATCGCCCCTTGCTTATATCACCTTAAAAGAACGTATCAAAGAACACCTTTAATGAGGCAAAACTGATTTTTTTTAATCTAAATATATAACATTAAATACCGATATCATTGGAGTTGAAAATCACGCGAAACTAATGTTTTGGGATTTTCTGCCTAGTTGCATCCATATTAAAGTCAATGTTTTTTGCTTTTTAGCCACTCTGTGTCTACTGTGCGTTGCCACATTCGTAATAACTTTTGACGTGACTATACCAATTTATCAGTATATTTCTTTGATTACAGTTTTTTTGTGCGATGTGCGAACTTGCACAGTCATATCCTTATATTTTAAATATAAGCGTATATTTTAAATACAAGCTGAGCAAGCAATTTACAGTGATTTACGTAATCTTCTATACCAATATGTGGCATCGAATCGTTTACTCTTGATTCTAAAGAAACACTTTAAATTTAAGCAACTCTATTAACTCCCATCGAAGTCATTTATTTGCTTTATTGCATTAAGTAAAGTTGATAAAAAACGAGTAATTGATTTTTATTTTAAGAGGAAAAGTTGTCAAAAAAATTAGGATGTAAAACATGAAATTTTAAATTTTGCCAATAATTTTTAAACATGTTACACAATAAATTGCAGTACAATTATAATAATGTTTATATTCATTTGATACAAGAGCATTAAATAAGTTTTTTTTTATTGCTAAAATACTAAATGATGGTAAAGATAGGGTAATCAATAGTTGTGATTCTACATAATTTCGAATTCCAAAGTTATTAGAATATGAGATACATTATGTATTTGAAATATAATTGTTTTGGTGTTGGATAATTTTAATCAAAAACATTTTATTAACGTACTAATCTTATTGTTCATAAAATTGTATAATTATATAATAATATATTTTTTGCTATTATAAGATTATAATAGAAATTATTTTTTTCAAATGTATGTTTTGATTGCCCAAGTTTTATTTGTAAACGTTTTTGAATTTAATTCCTAGTAGAACTGACAAATTATGGACGTAAACAACAACAAAAAAAACTGTGTATGTATCAAGTGTAGTAATAAAAACTTAGAAGGAGATTTGTTGAGCCAAATCAGGGCACG